CTCGGAACAGAAGTAGATTTCTAGCTGACATGTGGCAACCCTCTCCACGCCTCCTCAGACCGATACGATACCTCACAGCCTTTGAGTCTCAGTAAACCTTGGAGGGGCAGGATTCCATGCTTATAGGAGATACACGATCACTGTCCTAGAGACATATTCACCCTGGACCTGGAATTCTTCATTGCTCTGATTCTTTCCCCTCTGCTCTAACTTCTCTCGTTCTTTGGGCCGCGCGTGCTCTCAACCCCCTGGTGTCGGGGCCAGCCCCCGCCGTGTGACCTTGGGCGAGTCACGCGCTGCGCGGGCTCCCTGCTCGGTCCGGATCCATCACCTCTGAGACCTGCAGGGCCGGCCCTTCACCAAGCGATTACGTCAGCGGCCCCTGCGCCCACAGCCGCAGCCCGGACTCTCTGAAGTTGGGGGGCAGTGGTCTGAGGGGCCCTCCCACCCTCCGGACACGGGGGGAACTGGTCAGCACCACCCAGTGTCAAATGGCCATCGTGCAGGGAAGGGCGGACGGAGGGTGCTGAGCCCAGGACCCGCCAGGTGCCAGCAGCGGAGCCCCGATCCCGGCCCAAACCCGGTGGAAAGAATCAGAAACCGGTTGACACCGCCTCCGCCCCTGCCAAGGCCGTGTTCTGCCTCCGTCTCCACCTGTGGTCCTGCCTCCCTCCTCCCTGGAGCCGGTGAGAAGCTCCTTCCCCGCAGGCTGGGGGAGTCTGGGGGTGCCAGCTGCCCTCCCCTCTCCAGCCTCCTTCCTGCAGGGGGGCTCCCCATCCCTGACCAGATGCCCAGGCACCGGGAAACGCAGACTTTCCTGTCTCTGCACTAACCGGGGTTTCACTTACTGCTTGCGCCCAATGGCCAAAGCTGGAACAATTCAAGCAACAAAATAATGTGGTTTTGGATTAAACCCAAATTATAAAATAAATAGTTATGCCTCCAAACAGATATAATCGATTGAATAAAGAAGGACGGGTGCAGAAACACATCTCCGTACGAAAGAATTCCAAATGGTTATGCAGCACTCCCTGCCCCCTCCTTCCTGGGTGTAGGCTGCACTTGGGGACTTGCTCCCAGAGAGCAGAGCACAGATGGGGAGAAAGTCACTTCACAGCACAGAAAGCTGCACCCACCGCCTTAGCCGAGTGACCCGGGCTAAGGGGACAGTGGGAAATCCTGCCGATGGCCTGGACCTGTGAGATGCTAGGAGGCGAAGGCCACCACTTTGATCTTAAAAACTCATAATACCAGTCTCACCCTGAGAAAAACATCAGACAAACCCAGTGGAGGGATAGAGAGTCTACAAAATACTGACCAGTACTCCTTGAAGTTACTAAGGACCAAAGGGTCCCAGGTTCGATTCCCAGTCAAAGGCACAGGCCTGGGGTAGGAGGTGCAATCCTGGCCCCGGTCGAGGCATGTGTGGGAGATTCCAATTGATGTGTGTTGCTCTCACATCGATATTTTTCTTTCCCTCCCTCCCTCCATCTCTTTCACTCTCTCTAAAAATCAATGGGGAAAATATCCTTGGGTGAGGATTAACCAAAAATAAAAAATAAAAATGCAGTGGCCCATGAATAGACAGATTTGCTGGTACAGAGCAGAAGCCACAAAAGCATATATATATATCTATGTAGTATATGAGAAAATGGCATTTCAGATCTGTGGGATAGGATGAATTATTCAGTAAATGGTGTGAAGACAACTGGGTAACCATCTGGGAAAAGAGGAAGTTGGATCCCTAACATAAAGCCCAGATGGAATCGGATCAAAATGCAAAAACTAAGATCAGGTAAGTATAGAAAGAAGAAATTAAAAGATTACATAAGAAATAATTTCAGCAAGGAAAAGGAAAAAGCAATAACAAAACGGGGAGAAATAATGACAAAGCAGGAAGAAAAGGACCAATAACCACATAGAAAAACGGGCACGCCCTGGCAGGTGTCATCCCATGCACCAAGAGGTCGCTGGTTCAATTCCCACTCAGGGCACATGCAGGGGTTGCAGGCTTGATCCTGCACAGGGGGTGTGCAGGAGGCAGCCAGTCGATGTTTCTCTCTCATTGATGTTTTCCTCTCCCTTCTCTGTTTCTTTAAAAAAAAAAATCAGTAAAAACATATCTTTTTTTAAAAAATATATATTTTATTGATTTTTTACAGAGAGGAAGGGAGAGGGATAGAGAGTTAGAAACATCGATCAGCTGCCTCCTGTACACTCCCCACTGGGGATGTGCCCGCAACCAAGGTACATGCCCTTGACTGGAATCGAACCTGGGACCCTTGAGTCTGCAGGCTGACGCTCTATCCACTGAGCCAAACCTATTAGGGCAGTAAAAACATATCTTAAAAAAATATGGTCACAGGTTTGATTCCGGTCAAGGATACATACCTAAGTTGTAGGCTCGATCTGCAGCCCGGGTCAGGGTGATGCGGGAGGCAACCAATCAATGTGATTCTCTCACATAGATGTTTCTCTCTCTCACCCTTCCACTCTCTAAAAATCAATGGAGAAAAATATCCTTGCGTGAAGATTAACAAAAGAGAAATGGGCAAAAATTATAAAGATAGCTCATAGGAAAGGATATACAAATGGCTCAAAAACATACAAATGAGCCCTGGCCACGCAGCTCAGTTGGTTAGAGCGTGTTCCCAGTACCTCAAGGTTGTATGTTTGATTCCCACTCAGGGCACATACAAGAATCAACCGATGAATACATCAATAAGTAGAACAACAGATCAATGTGTTTCTCTCTCTCTTTCTCCCCCTTCTTTCTCTAAAATCAATGATAATGATAATTAAGAAAATAAACACGAACAGAGGCGTGCTTAAAACACAGTCAGATACACTTTTTCACCACCAGTTTGGCACATATCAATACGCTGAGTGTGTGAGGACACGGGGACAGGCATCCATGGCTGGCTGGGAGAACGTAAGCTGCAGAGTGTTTAGCAACAGCCATCAAAATTACAAACCTTCGACCCAGCGATTTCCAAGATTTCCATCGCAGGCACTGACTGCATATGAGAGTGAACATTCTTTGCAGTATCACTTGTACTAGCAACACTGCAGACACAACTCAACAGACATCTCGGGGCACTGGATCCTGGTGGTACCTCCACTCACTGGAAAGCCATCCACTGTTATAAAAAGGCATTAGGACTCTCTGTGATGGACTGATAATGGAAAAGGCTCCAAGATATAAGCTGCAGAACGGGTGTATTCCATGCTAGCACTTGTGTACAAAAAAGGGGGGGAAACCATGTTAGACACCATTGACTCTCCTTGGGAGGTAACATTGATTTCTTTGGGGAGGAAAAGAGAAAAAAATTTCACTTCTATGATAGAAGTAAGCCAGGTGAGTGAATTACCTCTGCAAAACAAGAACTAAAATAGAGAATGTAAAATGCTTACACACTCTGGCCCAGTCACTCTGGGGCTAGATTCTGCAGCTCAAACAAGGATGTCTGTAGAAGATGTTCAATGCACCGTTGCTGGGACGGGCAGCAGATGGAAACAGCCTGAAGGTCTGCCAGCTGGCACTGGCTACCGGCAGCCGTGCACACAGGGAGTACTGAAGTGGGTCCATTTGGACAATTAGGTAAGAAAAGCAGTGCAGGTAGTGTCTGGAGTGTGCTCCCACTTGTTTATAAATAACCCGTGGATTTGCTTTCATACGTGCACAGAATATTCCTGGAGGAAACCCAAAATCTAGCAACGAAGGCTGCCTCTAGGGAGGGAAACTAAGGATGAGGGAAGGGTGGGAGAGAGACCTCAATCCTCTGTGTGGCTGATCTTACCATGGTCCAGAATCACTCCCTAAAATAACGAAAACATTTCAATATTAAGGAATTATTTAAAAACAACAAAAACAGCAAACCATTCGTTGAAGATTAAAAATGTAAAATGAGCCCGGCTGGCATGGCTCAGTGGCTGAGCATCAACCTATGACCCAGGAGGTCGCAGTTCAATTCCAGGTTGCAGGCTCAGTTCCCAGTTGGGGGGAGGGGGGGTGGGCGTGCAGGAGGCAGCTGATCAATGATTCTCTCTCATCATTAATGTTTCTCTCTCTCTCTCCCTTCTTCTCTGAAATCAATAAAATATAAAGTAAAATGAGGTCATGCCACAGGCCTTAGTAAGTGGCTGGCAGATGGGCTGTTGAATTCAACCGGCTGGGAAGGCCCAAGACGCCAAGGCCCCTGAGAGGTGTCAGGCTGAGAGTGGGGAGTGCCGGGGTGGGGGAGGAGGCACGTGATGGGTCCTCACCGAGGGGAGGGAGGGACCGGAAGCTGAAGGCACCGGCTGGATATCCCTAAGGCACTTTTCCTAGAGCCTGGGCCTCCTGCTGTTTTCCGATGCAGTGATGTGGTGGAGCCCAGCGTGGGGAACTGTCTCAGTTTCTCTGAGTATATTCAGATGGCTGGGTCCCATCCTGCCAGGCACCGTGTGCGTGGGAGAGGGCAAAATCACGGCAAGGTCCTGCCCACAACTGCCCGAGACCCGGCCACAGCTTGAGTTAGGAAGGCAAATTCAAGACGTCCGGTGACAGTGC